GACCCATCTTCACATGGGGCCCATTCACCCAAGAGGCCAGGCACAGGCAAAGCTGGAAGTACTCCAGAGCCTTCAGGAGTGCCTGAAGGAGCTCCAGTGGGTGATCTGCTCGGAATAGGAAGAGAATGGCTGCTGTCCTGACCTTAGAGTGAAGCTTTATGCTGTGCAAATGTTTTATTTATTTATTTAGAGACAGCCTCACTCTGTCGCCCAGGCTGGAGTGCAGTGGTACGATCTTGACTCACTGCAAACTCTACCTCCCGGGTTCAAGTGATTCTCGTGCCTCAGCCTCCCAAGTAATTGGGCTTACAAGTGTGAACCATCACGCCCAGGTAATTTTTGTATTTTTAGTAGAGACAGAGTTTCACCATGTTGGCCGGGCTGGTCTTGAACCCTGGCCTCAAGTGATCTGCCTGCCTTGGCCTCCCAAAGTTCTGGAATTACAAGTGTGAGCTTCTGTGCCCAATCTATTTATTTATTTATATTTTTAATTTTTTTTATTTGTATAAATTGAGGTAGTACAAGTGCGGTTTTGTTACATGAATCTGTTGCATAGTGGCGAAGGCAAATGTTTTATTTAAAGTCTAGCTAAGTGTCAGGTTTGGATTTGTTTCTTGTGTTCCAGGTGAGTGTATAGCAGTCCTACTTGTCTGTTTAAAATTCTTATAATTGAAGAATTTCAATGTATACGATACGTCTGAAGGTTTTCATAATGTGGACTCACTTAAAATTTTTTTTAAATTAAATTTATTTATTAGAGACAACGTACTAATCTATTTATTAGAGACACCCCTAGGCTGGAGTATAGTGGATATTCACAGGCGTGATCACAGGACACTGCAGGCTCAGCTTCCCCTATAGCTGGGACTGCAGGCCTGTGCCACCATGCCTAGCTTTGGACTCTCTCTAATTCAGATTATACCTGTTTGATTCTGGGACTCTCTTCTCTCATGGGTCTCTCAAGGTGCCCTGGTGTATGGCGTTCCTGCTCCCTGTCTGCCTTATCTGCCTGTCTGTTCCTCAGTTTCCAAGGCCCGTTTTCTAGGTGAACCCTTCCTAGTGACTTATATTGAATTCTTTCTCCTGTTCCAGAGTTCCTACAATTTACTATTTCATGCGATTTTGTACTTCCCTGTAGTATTTCCAATCATTAATTCATTATGTAATGGTCTCACTTCACAACAATGTTCTAAAGCTTTTGAAGTCAGACGTCCTATCTTATATTTTTCTTACATTCCTGATACTGGTACCACCAATCTTAACATTGTCTAGTTGGTGCACTCAATAAAATCCTTTTGAAAGGAGGAAGGTCACGGGATGAAGCTGAAGAAGCTGATGGCTTTTAAATTTTTAAATTTAAAATTTTTTTTTAAGAAACAGGGTCTTGCTCTACCACCCAGGCTGGATGGAGTGCAGTAGCAACATCATAGCTCACTGCAGCCTTGAACTCCTGGGACACTGACAATATTAATCCTAGTTTTGCAGCTGATTCACTCTGACCTTAAGTAGATTATTTATCTTTGGTGATTTTCCTCATCCCAAAGCTGTTAGTAACAAAACTGACTTTACTGAAGCATGTACCTTTTGAAATAGATACGTGGTTTTGAAAAACCAGCATGTTCTAAGAAAATAGGATGTGGGCAGGTGAGGTGGCAGTATTTTCAGACTAAAGGGAAATCGTTAGGTGAGACTTTTTGAACACACTTTTGAAAATTATACCTGTATATATCTATATCGAATGTTTAAGCACAGTTGTCTTTGCATGATTGTTCTTTATGCTTTGATATTTACTTTTGATACACGACTCTCATTATGAACTTAGTAATGACAAATTGCTCTGAAATTGAAACCAATGTTAATTTTGGCGTATTTTTGTTTTTAAGGCATATGTTCAGTGTAACGAAGATAATGTTGAAAGAGACATTCAAACGGAGGAAATAGAGACCAGGGAAGTGTGGACCCAGCACCCAGGAGAAAGTACCGTTGTATCTGGAGGTAACATCTTGCTCTTGAGTGTTGACCATTGACTATCTTTACATTCTTTTTTGTTTTATTTTTACTTATTCCCTTTCTGGTTCACTCTCATTTTGTCTTTCTCTTGTGTATGGTTGTTAGCATGTGACAATATCAGTACCCAATTTTCTTTTAAAGAAACACTAACTACCAGCCACAGAGCTGCTGAGCTACAAGGGGAAGGAAGCCTGCTCTTGGGGCCCAGTCTGCGCCATTGCCAGGATTTATGACAGATTATATTCCTATGTAGAGGGAGAGATTCCACATTCCAAACAACCAGTGTGTCCCTGGATCTTTGGAGCATACTGTGCTTTTAACTTGGGGAAGCCTATTCTCATGAATGTAGAATTTTTATATTTTAAGTGCAGTTTGCAAAAATGTTCCATCAATTTAGATCGAAGGTCCCTAGAATGTATAGTTTCTGCTAAGTACTCTGGAGCGATGTACATGTTGAATACTTTACTGGTTTTTCTCAAGGAATTGCCTCTGTATGTCAGGGATGTATATTATCCGCTTTTCTCAGGTAAGCCTCACCTTAAGAAAGTAATATACCTAAACTTACGTGATAATTCAATTGATTCCTTTGAATGTTTTTTTGTTTTGTTTTGTTTTGTTTTGTTTGAGATGAAGTCTTGCTCTGTCACCCAGGCTGGAGTGCAGTGGCACGATCTGAGCTCCCTGCAACCTCCGCCTCTTGGGTTCAACTGATTCTCCTGCCTCAGCCTCCCAAGTAGCTGGGACTACAGGCACCTGCTATCACACCTGACTAATTTTTGTATTTTTTTAGTAGAGATGGGGTTTCACCATGTTGGCCAGGCTGGTCTTGAACTCCTGAGCTCAGATGATCCACCTGCCTCGGCCACCCAAAGTGCTGGGTTTATAGGCATGAGCCACCATGCCTGGCCTGAATGTTTTTCTAAATACATTACAGACTTCTATAAAACAATATGCAATTGTTTTGGGGAGTTAATAGTAGTAAATCTAGAGAGTATAGCGTGACGTTTTCTACCTTTTCCTTCTAGGACTCTTAATGTTGATTTGTTACGCCTGTTTGAACTCTAAGATGTGTAATGCATGACTGTTTTAGAGTCAACTTCGTTGATTTTATATAACCTGTTTTTTTTAGGCAGTGAACAAAGAGATACCTCTGATGCTGTAGTTATGCCGAAGATTGATACTCCAAGGTTATGTAGCTTTCTGCGGGCGGCTTGTCAGGTATGCTCAACCTATAATATGTTGTGTTCTCTGTGTAAGTGCTTTAAGTTTCATTCTATATAGAAACGTAGGAGCTTTTAAGATCTTAAAATTCTTTGTAGCTTGGATAAATCAGAATCAGTTATTCATTTTCAGGTATTATTTTCTTAAAAATTATCAGTGGTGCATTCATAAAGCCCTTGTGGGCAGAATGACACTGGGTAAATGTATATCACTAAAGTACTATGTATGTATTTGGATTGTGAATTTTATTATTAATTTCCTTTTTTTTTTTTTTTTTTTTGAGATAGAGTCTCGCTCTGTCACCCAGCCTGGAGTGCAGTGGCGCGATCTCGGCTCACTGCAAGCTCCGCCTCCTGGGTTTACGCCATTCTCCTGCCTCAGCCTCCCGAGTAGCTGGGACTACAGGCACCTGCCACCTCGCCTGGCTAGTTTTTCGTATTTTTTAGTAGAGACGGGGTTTCACCATGTTAGCCAGGATGATTTCGATCTCCCGACCTCGTGATCCGCCCGTCTCGGCCTCCCAAAGTGCTGGGATTACAGGCTTGAGCCACCGCGCCCGGCCTATTAATTTCTTACATTTTAAAACAACTAGAGATTAACGAGCAGACGTGAAGTTGGCAAGGCAAACATAAATCTAGGGTATTTGAAAATAATAAACTTCTGATTTTATAAGCTGATTTATAAATGGAAAAAATTTTAAAATCCATACAAAGAGACATGAAACAGTCCTGTGAAGCTGCAGGTACATTAGTGGTTATCACCTCATGGCCGTGGGTCTCGTCTGACCCCCCTGCCCACTCCACCACCCACCCCATCGGTTATTTTGAAACAAATCCCAATCATCTAACTTTGCCTCCAAATAGAGTTCAGTATGAATCTCAAAAAGCAGAGAATGTCTAAAAGAGTAATTAGTAATAACTTAAAATGCAGTCAGCTGTGAAGTCGGCATTCACATTTCCCCAGCTGTCCCATCACTTTCTTGTATGGAAGCTTAGCACTTGAGTCTACTGCAGCACTGAAGAGTGGAACATTGTGAAACTTTGACACGCTGATTGAGATTAAGGATGATTTGAAACCTCGACACGCTGGTTGACATTAAGGATTGTGAAACCTCAACACACTGATTGAGATTAAGGATGATCGTGAAACCTCGACACGCTGGTTGAGGTTAAGGATGATCGTGAAACCTCGTGCGCTGGTTGAAGTTAAGGATGATCGTGAAACCTCTCGACACGCTGGTTGAGATTAAGGATGATTGTGAAACCTCAGCACACTGTTGAGATTAAGGATGTTTGTGAAACCTTGACACGCTGGTTGAGATTAAGGATGATTGTGATTAAGGATGATTGTGAAACCTCAGCACACTGTTGAGATTAAGGATGTTTGTGAAACCTTGACACGCTGGTTGAGATTAAGGATGATTGTGAAGCATCGACACGCTGATTGACATTATGGATGATTCTCAGACACTAATCTGAGCACGTGGTGGTCATGTAGTCACTCTGTTGCAATTATGTAGGAATCTATGGTTTACGAAATGTGATTATGATTTTACACGATTTATGATTTGTATCACATTTTGTTTTAGTGTAAGTTCTAAGTGTTCTAGTTCTAAGTTCTAGTGTAAGTTCTCATCTCTAAGATGAGAGAGCGCTTGGGTGCAAGGTGAGATGGATAGGGAAGGAGGGAGGACAGAGGGTGACCAGCCTGGGGCCATCCCTGAACTCACAGCTCTCCTGTCTGGTCTGTGGCCTGGACACACTCCTGCAGGTCCTCAGTAAACACTCCCTGCTTTCTTCATTCCCATCCGGTGTTTCTCATAAGACACTTCCTGTCTCCTCACACAGATCCTATCGAGTCTCATTAAACACTCCTGCCCTCCACACTCTACCCTTTATCTCTCACCAAACACCCCTGCCCTCCACACTCCACCCTCCATTACGAAATGATTATGATTTTTTACACGATTTAGTGATTTGTATCACATTTGTTTAGTGTAAGTTCTAAGTGTTCTAGTTTTAAGTTCTAGTGTAAGTTCTCATCTCTAAGATGAGATAGAGCTTGGGAAAGGTGATGGATAGGAAGGAGGGAGGACAGAGGTGACCAGCCTGGGGCTGGTCCTTGAACTCACAGTTTCTCCTGTCTGGGTTCAGGCCTGACACACTCCTGCAGGTCCTCAGTAAACACTTTGCTTTATTCCCATCTCGCAGCTTGGCGCACTTCCTGCTCCCCTCACATGATCCTCTGTATCGGTCTCATTAAACACTCCTGCCTCCTATACCCACCCTTATCTCCTCTCCTCTTCTCGCCCCTTCTCCCACCAACACCCCTCACCTACACTCCAATTCTCCACCTCTCACCAAACACTCCCTGCCTCTACACTCCATCCTTATCTCTCACTAAACACTCCTGCCCTCCACACTCCACCCTCCACCTCTCACCAAACACCCCTGCCCTCCACACTCCATCCTTTATCTCTCACTGCACCTGCCTCCACACTCCATCCTCCACTACCAAACACCCCTCGCCCTCCACACTCCATCCTCCACCTCTCACCAAACACCCCTGCCCTCCACACTCCATCCTTTATCTCTCACCAAACACCCCTGCCCTCCACACTCCATCCTCCACTTCACCAAAACACCCCTGCCCTCCACACTCCATCCTTTATTCTCACCGAACACCCCCCAAACTCTCCCAAATCTCCACCTCTCCTCACCAAACACTCCTGCCCTCCACACTCCACCCCTCCACCTCTCACCAAACACCCCTGCCCTCCACACTCCATCCTTTATCTCTCACCAAACACCCCTGCCCTCCACACTCCATCCTTTATCTCTCTTACGAAACATTCCCTGCCTCTCACATCAACTTTATCTCCTCACCAAACACCCCTGCCCTCCACACTCCACCTCCACCTCTCACCAAACACCCCTGCCCTCCACACTCCACCCTCCACCTCTCACCAAACACCCCTGCCCTCCACACTCCCCCCTCCACCTCTCACTAAACACTCCTTTTCTTACCCGTTCCCATCCTGTCATTTCTCACTTCAAATCTCCTGCCTTCCATACTCTCTTCCCGTCAGTTCTCATTAACATTTTCTTCCTTCTTCCCACCCATCTTGTCAGTCCTCACTACAGGTTCCCTTTCTGGCACGAATCCTATCAATTCTCACTCAATGTTTCCTGCCTCCCGCCCTCTTGTTCTGTCAGTTCACATGAAACATTCTCTGCCTTCCTCACTCCCGTACGTTCGGCTTTCACTGTCTGTTTCTGCCTTTGTCACTCTCACACAGTCAGCTCTCACTCAGCATTTCCTATCTCCCACTCTCCCATATTCTGTCAGTTCTCACTCAATATTCCCGGCTGTCCTGACCCTGAGTGTTCAGGTCACGTCAGTTCCCACTGAACACTTCCTGGCCTCAGTTTTTACTACGCAGCCCCCTCTTCCTCACAAAAATCCTGTCGCTTCTCACTGAACACCCTCTGCCTTCCTCACTTTCCTTCTGTTAGTTCTCAGGAATATTTCTAGTTCTTTTTCCATCAGTCCTGTTGTGTCTCCCAATCTTTCTCTGCACCGTCAAATCCTAAGGATGCTCCTGGAACGATGACAGTGTTTTACCACTCAACTCTGGCTTTTTACCGAAACCCGGTGAGAGAGACTCAGTGGGTTCATGACTGTTCTTTACACTGCTTTGTTCATTTATAAATGCTGGATATCCAGCCCTTCCTCCCACTGTGATTTTTAGCAGTGTATGTGGCATGAAAAACAACATTCAGGGCAAATGATGGTTCTCTTGTGGAGTTTGTTTTAGTTAATCTTATTGTATTAGTTTTCAGTATTGTGCATAAAGGACCATATCGTTTTTCTTGTAGTTATGATAGTGTCGTGGATCTAGGCAGTTATTTGCAGATCTGGATAAGATGAAAAGGTAAATTTTTTTTTTGGGAAAAGATAATCCTTTGTAAAGTTTTTATTAAAGACTACTCACTTATGTCTGACAGGTGATGGCTGTTTTGCTGGAAGAGGATCGCTTGGCAGCTGAACCCAGCTGGAATCTTAGGGCTCAAGACAGGGCCCTGTATTTTAGTGACAGCTCATCTCAGCTGAACACCAGCCTGCCATTCCTTCAAAGTAAGAGGCTGTTCTCAAATACGATTTTAAATCCAGTGACTAAACATTCATGTTGAAATAATAATTTGTAGTATTACATTTTATTTTAATGTGATGGGGTTTACTGTACATAAAATTGAGAAAGACTGAGTTTCTGCAGAATTCAAAAGTGAGTGGTTAGTTTTTCCCCCTTAAGTGTGTATGTTAAATTTGTGATTAAGGATTTTAATAAGATGAATAGAAGAGGGATCCACAGTAATGTAAACAAGTGAGATTGTTTAAATGAATGGGAACTGAGATTTTCTATGTGTTTGAAATCTTATTTTCTTTTCTCTTCCAGTTATTCAGTTTATTTTCATGAGATAGAGTAGAAGAAATAGTTCGACGAGCATGAGAGAGTGTTCAGGTCAAAATTGTGTTAATAGTTTAGACATAGATACGAGTAAGATGCTTAACATTTAGTGTAGATAGAATTAGATTTTTAGGTTGATCCGTGGTTATGGAACATAAAACAGGAAGCAAAGCCCAGGATCTCAAACAGAAAGTGCAGTTGCATGTAACTGTTTAATCACTTCAGACAAACTGCATTTGCAAGACCAAATTTAAATTTCTTGAGCTAGTAACCTCTTGTCTCTGAAAAAGTGGCTGTCAGGTACCAGAGGGCAGCCATGGTCCCGGTTTTTGTGGAGAACCAGCAGGGGCGCTGTGTGTGGCCGTCCGCTTGGCAGCAAGTGCAGGGGTGCTGCAGGGCAAACGTGCTTCAGGGCATGTGTGAGGCCAGAGCAGTTGGTGCCACTGTTCTAGGCATTTCTTCCATCCTGCCTGCTATGCAGAGATTTCAGTTTAACAAAAATGGCATTGTTAATTTAACAAGTCTTCACATTCTTTGAGAGAGTTTTCTTTTCCTGTTAGAAAAATAATAAATCTCTGTACTTGTGTAATTCAACACATTGGCATCCACACACCCAGCACACACCAAGAAGGGAACCGAGTGTATGCGGCCCCCAGAGAGCTGACGCTGAGCAGTGACAGCAGGTGCATGAGAGCGGCAATGGCGCCATGGCCTCCGTTGGAGAACACATGAAGTGTGTGTGTGTACTACAGTGCTGCGGCCTCCGTCGCAGAACACATGATGTGCATGTGTGTACCACAGCATGCGGCCTTTGTTGGAGAACACGTGAAGTGTGTATGTGTGCTGCAGCGCGTGGCCTCCATCGGGAACACGTGAAGTGTGTGTGTGTGTGCAGCGCGTGGCCTCCATCGGGAACACGTGAAGTGTGTGTGCGTACCGTAGAGCCGGGCTTCCGTCGGGGAACATGTGAAGTGTGCGTGCGTACCGCAGCACTGGGCTCCGTCGGGAACACGTGAAGTGTGTGTTAGTACTGCAGCACACAGCCTCCCTGACGGCGGCCTCCGTTGGGGAACACGTGAAGTGTGCGTGTGTACTGCACTTCCCACATGTTCAAGGAGCAGAAGGTCTTGTTTGCTTATTTTTGTGTGTTGGTAAAATGAATATTGAGATAGCAGAAGGAACATGAGACTCCAAGAGAAGCGTGAGATGGAATGTGTGGGTTGTCTCACCCTGCAAATCCAGGATTTGACTCAGATTAGATTCTGATCTGTGATCAGATGTAGAGATCCTTCAGCCTTCCTAGGGTCCACCCAGTACCCTCATCACTATTAAAACACGCGGCAGAATGACGCAGCCTGCGGGTCGTCTAAAACACGCGGCAGAATGACGCAGCCTGCGGGTCGTCCCCATCACTATTAAAACATCGCCGCAGAATGACGAAAGCTTCATGGTCAGTTCCATCACTATTAAACACGCTGCAGAATGACGAGCTCATGGATCGTCTCATCACTATTAAAACACGCGTATCGACGAGCCGACGGGTCATCCCGCCATCACTGCTTAAAACACGCGGCAGAATGATGCAGCCAGCGAGTTGTTCATCTGACGAATGTTCCATAGGGGGTGCCATGCCCTGGGCACTGTCAGGGAGCTGCAGTTCAGCAGTGAGTAGGACGACAGCGACTCTGCCCTCCTGAACTTGTGTTTCGGCGGGTCAAGTAGACTCTGCACTGGCTACACAGATCAACATACAGTCTATCCGAGAGGGTTAAGTTCTAAGGAGAACAATAAAGACAGTTCTGATAGAGGAGGCCTCACTGTGAGTGAAAACCGGACAGAGATGAGAGAGGGGCCACAAGGAGATGGGAGCTTCTGGAGGAGGGGCCACGTGCACACAGGCCTGAGGGGTGGGCACACCTGTGCCTTGGGGAGAAGCGAGGAGACCACGGTGGCCAGCGGGAGGTGAGGTCGGGGCAGCGATGGGTCAGGCCTTGGTTGCCATCATCGTTCCGCTGTAACAGGAGGTACACGTTCCTAAAAGTCTCTACCCTGTGGAAGATTGCCAATAAAAACCAGAGGGCTTAGGAGAAAACAGGGTCAGGTCACAGCACTCGAGAACCTCATCCCACTCAAATCATCTATTAAATACGGCACCTGGAAGCAGACCTGACGCTTGCTGGTGGAAGTGGCCCCAGAAGGCTACAGCTGTGAGTGATTGTGATGAGGTAGAAAGAGGGTTCCCTGGAATCGGAGGGGACGTTGTGACCCAGGTGTGGATGGTGTGGGTAGCAGGATGTGAACTGTGGGGCCGAGAGGTTTGTGGCGTGTGCGTGTGGCCGGGGTTAACCGGGTACTGCTTTCCACATTGACTTGGCGCCTGCCAGTGGCGCGGTCCGGTTCTTTGACTGAAGTTATCGCCAGTCGCGGACTTCCCATGCTTCTGTTTTCATGAACTCCATCTCCATCTTCTGCTGGTGTGTGGGAGCCGCTGGCACGGCCAGCAGTGGCAACAGCAATGCCTTGGAGTGCAGTCCCTCGCCAGGCGGAGCAGCGTCTGGAACGGCGCTCAGCCCCACGCAGCCTTTGAGGAGGGCAGTGTGCCACGTGGTGTTCCAACGCTGAAGCCCCTGCAGCTGGTGTATTCGCAATGTTCTGAAGCAGGGGGGTGGCCAGGCTCACTCCAGTGCCTCCCAGCTCTGAGATCCTGACTCCTGGCAAGTGGTGGGCGGCTGGTTTCTGTGTGAGTCGTTAGTGGAGCCACAGGTGTCTTGGGCTGCATGCTACCACGTTTTAGCCAGACTGTGAGGTCAGCTTGGACAGAGTGTTCGGGCATAGGCTGTGGCCATTCATCAAAACCTATGATTCATGTATGTTGGTTTTGAAAGGACCATGTTTGTTTCTTCCTGAAGCTGAATTTTTTTTTTTTTTTTTTGAGTATTCGGAAGTGTGTTAATTTAGCCCACTAAAATGTGAACATATTTTTCTTCTCCCTAGATCGAAAAGTATCCTCCTTGCACGCCTCCCGAGTTCAGAGGCAGATGGTGGTCTCCGTTCACGACTTACCCGAGAAGGCCTTTGTGCCCCTGCTGGACAGCAAATACGTCCTCTGTGTGTGGGATATTTGGCAGCCCTCAGGGCCGCAGAAGGTTCTGATATGTGAGTCCCAGGTACAGCTCAGGAGGAGAGTCGCACATTTGATGGGAGGATGGGCGGTGGACAGAGCGGGAAGGTGCAGGCATGGGGAGAGGCGCAGGGACAGGAGGTGGGTAGGAACTTACGGGCCATTCTCTGCCTCTCACAGCTGGCTTCAGCTGTGCTGTGGGTGCAGTGAGACGCGTGGGTGTGCTTGTTTTGACTCTGGAAATTCGTAGTTCAAAATGAGCAAATGAGAATTTTCACAGAGCACCCCTTGAGGTCAGCTGAGAATTAGGAAATGGAGGTAGTTATAGGCCGAATGAAAATACTGGCCATGCTCGGCATAGCTCTGGGGCCCTCGATGCCTGTTTTTCTGTCTTGCACTGTTTTGGTCCTGAGTGTTTTAGAGGTTTCTCAGACTGCGTTGAGGTTTCTTAGACTGTGTTGAAGTGTGCTGTCGCTCAGAGTCCTTCCAGAGGCTTCCCATTCACCGCCTAGGAGGCTGGCACTGAGGCTTGAGGACTGTGCAGTGAGGGGTTGGGGCTGCCTCTCTATGTTTGGGAAAATGTGCATTTGTATTTTCCTAGTTATGTATTCCCTGGCCTCAAAACCATTGATTTCCACAAAAATTGTAGAGAAACTGTTGAAATTGTAACTTTTGTAATACAAGATGTAAATCAAATGGTGCAGGATGGAACTGCTACTTTTTTGAGGTTCAGCTGATTGAGTTGAGTGGATGGGCTCCTGGCAGGCTTTGTGTGACCAGATGAGTGTCAGCACCTTGCATTTGTGATCATAACAAGCCTACGGGGTTGGTTTCTCATCCCTGTTTTCCGTTTCAGGAACCTGACAAGCCACCTTTTCTTTCTGTGTGGGAGTTCACGTTCTGCTTACCGTGTCCTGCACGTGACTCCCGTGCAAAGTGAAACATGGTCAGACACCTCACTCAGTAAATGCAGCTTCTGTGAGCGTGCTTCTCATATTCTTCAGTCATTGGCTTTCTGTGCATTTGTCTTTTAGGTCACGTGTTGCTGCTTGAGCCCATTCAAAGCATTTTTACTGTTTGCCGGAACAGCGCACGGCTCAGTCGTCGTCTGGGATTTGAGAGAAGACTCAAGGTTGCATCACTCTGTGAAGCTGAGCGATGGTTTCTGGACATTCCGGACGGCCACGTTTTCCACCGGTCAGTGTCATCCACCTGCCAATTGTGTGTCTTCTAAAAAAGCCACACAGATTTGAGGAACAAAGCTTTACATGGATTTGCATTTACTTATTCACATTGTCTCAGAGGATGGGGTCTGACTCATGGGCAAAAGAGGCATTTGACAAATATAAAAAAGAAAAATCAATTCTCATCATGATTATGCAGTGGCCAAGAATGACTCGAATTTCCTTTCTTATTAAATTTATGGATTCCAAAAAATCCTCAATGATATTACCTTTAGTTTTAAAGTAGCTTGAGGCATCTTGGCACGTGTGTTGTCCAGGACAAAGGTAACTCACACTCACGTGAGCAAAGCCAGTCACCCTGAGTGCTGCCTGGAACAAGCACAGTTGGGCCTCCCTGAGCCTCGGCTTGACTCGGGTGGACGTTCATACCATGCCGTGCCCAGACACCACAGCAGGCACCCGGCATAAGTGTTTCCTGTGTTCTGGGACTCGCCCTGGTGCATAGCGTACATTGTCTCATTTAATTCCCCTGATAGCCCTGAGTCCCAGCTCCACCAGAAGATGCAGCATTCGTCTGAGGTCACGCTGACCACATGGCGGGGCCTGCCCTCGGACCCCACGCCACGCCCTGCACCGCCTCTTCCCGTAGGGGCTGTGGTGCCGTGGACTGAAGGTGCAGGCCGAGCCCATCACTCACCCCTCTGTGTGGCTTTCTTACCGTAGATATGTTGCGTGTCTGTCTGTGTTTGACATGTGTATCTGTACATTGTACGTAAGAGAGGCACTTTTAAAATTCCCCAACCATGAATTGTGCCCCTCTGTGTGGGGCAATATTACACTGTTAAGACTGTTTGAATTTACGGGTAACTTATGGGTTGCGATGCTATTTTAAAAGATATCTTTTAAATAAATAATCTTCGCCTTTTCTAATTGCTGCTGCTATTACTAAAAAGTTTTTGAATGCAGCACCATTTTCAAAAACAGTAAACCTCTAGACTATACATACAAATAAATTATTCCATTAAAATGCATCCTTCTTTTTTTTTGAGATGGGTCTGGCTCTGTAGCCCAGGCTGGAATACAGTGGTGCGATCTTAGCTCACTGCAATTTCTGCCTCCTGGGTTCAGGCGATTCTCCTGCCTCAGCCTCTTCAAGCGATTCTCCTGCCTCAGCCTCCTGAGTATCTGGAATTACAGGTGCCCACCACCAATGCCTGGCTGATTTCTTTATTTTTAGTAGAGATGGGGTTTCTCCATATTTGTCAGGCTGGTCTTGAACTCCTGACTTCAGGTGATCTGCCCGCCTCGGCCTCCCACAGTGCTGGGATTACAGGCATAAACCACCGCGCCTGGCCTTGTCTTTGAAATATTATCAATAAAACCTACAAAGTTTTAAATAAACTCTCAGTAGTGAGGAGCTGTGGAACTTCTGATTCAGACCATGAGTCAGAGGAACCAAATTCTCGCCCGAGAGACCAGCAGTCAAGCCATCAGCGCTTCGTCTGGGTCCTTTCCCTTAAACACCCTATAATTTCTTCTTAATTTCTGAGGTGATTTTGTCTTTTTCTTCAGTTTTTTTCCCGAGTTCAATCCCAATTCTCATTTCATTTCTTACTTTCTTGGGTCCAATTCTGTTCTTGATTTCTGATTCCCGGTGTTTTTTTCTTGTTTGTTGTTTTGATATGTTTCTAGATGCCCTTTGAGGAGATGTGATTCCATTTGGAACATTGAGTTTTGTGTCTTTTGCCTTGTGCTTGTTTTTAGGAGGGAGAATTTTCATCAGCTGAAATGCTTTGATTACATTTTTTTCTGTTTTCTTATAGTAGCTTTCTATGGAGTTTGGCTTTTTTCTGCTCATAGGCATTCTGTAGATGGATATTTTAAGTCAGTGAGCTTTGCTTTGTTGATTTGTGACAGGTATCTTTTTAGTGGGCATTGTGCCTCAAGGTGGTAGGTGGGGTGGGTTTGCCGTTCCTTTGGTTTTGCAAACGCCTGGATTTCCCTCTTCTGGCAGTTGTCGGGTGTGTGTGGAGGTCACCTCCCTTTCCTGGTCACATTCCCCTTCCCATCAGCCGTGCTGCTCCGACCTCCCCTGCCTTCCAGCTCCTTCCCTCAGTTGCTTGAGTGACCCCCAGGATCTGGCCTCGCGGAGACTTTCTCTGTCTGAGTTTTCTTTCGGGCTGTGTGGCATGCTGTCTCTGGGTGGTGGGCTTTAGCTTTCTTCCTGCCCTCCAGACCCGTAGACCCACAGGGCCAGCGAGCTCTGTGGGAACTGACGCTTTCTTACTGGAGAGCGGTGGCTGGGGCCCCTGTGTCCCAGGAATGTGAAGGTTGTGGTCCTGTGTCAGTCGTATGTGGTCCACGTTGGTCCTGGGGTGTTTTAGGAAGATGTGTGGAGAGAGTCAGATTTGTGAGACCCAGAAGCACCTCGTGTTTGTCCATGTGTGACGCCAGCTGCATTTCTGCAGCTTATTACTTACGCGTGGGTGCTGTGGGATTTTGACCTCCAGATGGAATCCTTACCTCAGTAAACCACCGAAGCCCTCTGCAAGCAGTAGAGCCCATCTCAGCGTCCGTCCACAAGAAGCAGAGCTTTGTGCTTTCGCCCTTCTTGACTCAGGAAGGTACGTGATTCTTCACTTTCTTAAAATTCTTAATCACTAGTTGTGAAATATGGTTTCCTTATGTAAAGCCATCTCTTTCTTTTTGTTTCTGTTTTCATCAGAAATGTCAGGTTTGTCCTTCCACATCGCTTCCTTGGATGAGAGTGGGGTTCTCAATGTGTGGGTGAGTACTGGTCCGGGCCAGGCACACGCGGGGCCTGAGTGAGGTGGTCTGGGTGGAGGTGGCGCCTGAATGGCGCAGGGGGCAAGGCCCAATTAGCTATGGTGGGAAATGGAGAGCAAGACGGCTTACTGGTCCTGAGCAGAAGGGATGCAGAAGGTCACACGTGGCAAGTTTGGGGCCCTTTCATGACAGCGAAATAGGAATTGCACACAAGGCTCTGGGAACGTGGAATGAAAGTGGGAAGGGAACAAAATGTTAGGGCCAAGGTCACGCTGGATTGGCTTGTCCTGGAGGATGCGCCAAGAATGTTGATTAAGTCACCAAGTGAAGAGAACACGAGGAGATCAAAGCAAAGGAGTCAGCTTGTAGAGCATTAGTTCTGAGGCTAAAGATCAGTGTCTTTTTCTGGAGCAGTTATGTTGTAGTATCTAATATAGCACTCCATCTTAATTAGAGCTATGCTTTGCTTAGGTTGTGTCAGAATTATAAAATGTATCAATATTCATTTTCAATGTTCTATTTTTAGGTGGTTGTTGAATTACCAAAGGCAGACATCGCAGGTTCAGTAAGTGATTTAGGTAACTATTAAGTAAAAAAATGAATTTTAGTGTTTTCTAAAATGAATAGAGATTAAAGGCACTGATAAGTATGGCCAGGCGCAGTGGCTCACGCCTGCTGGGAGAGGCTGAGGCAGGAAGATCGCTTGAGCCCAGGAGTTTGAGACCAGCCTGGGCCACATAGCAAGACTCCATCTGTACCAAAAAATTCAAAAATTGGCTGGGCGTGGTGGTGCACACCCGTAGTCCCAGCTGCTTGGTAGGCTAAAGCGGGAGGATTGCTTGAGCCTAGGAGTTTGAGGCTGCGGTGAGCCATGATCTTGCCACTGCACTCCAGCCTGCGTGATGGAATGAGACCTTGTTTCTTTGTTTTAAAAAAAAAATACCAATAACTGCTTTGAAAAATATAAATTACTACCTGAAAAATGAAAATTAAAGTTGTATGTCATATAACCGTATTAACTGTTGAACAGGTGTCTCAATTAACTAGAATAATCAAATTTTTTTTTTTTTTTTTTGAGACAGAGTCTTGCCCTGTCGCCCAGGCTGGTACAGTGGTGTGATCTTGGCTCACTGCAATCTCTGCCTCCTGGGTTCAAGCAGTTCTCCTGCCTCAACCTCCCAAGTAGCTGGGACTACAGGTGTGCACCACCAGGCCCGGCTAATTTTTGTATTTTTAGTAGAGACAGGGTTTCACCATGTTGGTCAGGCTGGTCTCAAACTCCTGACTTCAGGTGATCCACCTGCCTTGGCCTCCCAAAGTGCTGGGATTACAGGTGTGAGCCACCACATCCAGCCTCTGAGTGAATGTTTTGATTTTAGTAGGATTTAATGAGTTCTGTTCACAGCTGAGTACCATTCAGTTCTGTCAGACAAGTCAAGGACAGCCGTGTTCTGCAGCTGTTTCCTACGTATTTCAGGTGTCCGAGTCTTTCAGTGTGCATTCATTTTGGGGCTTCTTCCTTTCAGTTTTGGATTCACAACCCCAGGGCACATCAGGAACACTGGATGCTGCCTCTGAGGGCCGTTAGACTGGATCCCAGGATGGCAAAGGTCCCCGGGTCTCGGCAGAGCAGAAGCGACTTGAAACAAAGCTAATAGCACCTCTCACAGTTGGCTGCTCTTGATGCTATGGAGTACGATTTTCAGTTCCAGAAAGGGCTCAGAAGTGACGGAGTAATTCCGTCCTGTTGTGTTCTGTGGTTGAGATTAGCCCATGTTTTGATCTCAACTTCCTTCTCACCTTATTGGCTTCTCACCACCCAGTTTGTAATGATGAGCCCCCCTTCCACCTTGCTTGTATCAGGGGTGTTTTCCCGTGTAGATCTGGCAAAAAATAATATGAATGAGACCGGCTTTGTTCCTAACCTCTTGAGATTCGGGAAGAGGGCGCTTTGGCCCTTGGAGCAAATGCTGTGTGCTCTATATTCACACGTCTGTGGTGGCCCTTACAAATTGACTCCTGATTCTGACTTCAGTAAAAATAAGACAGTCGTGGCGTTCATTTCACTGGTAGATGCTTTAGAGGTGGAATCACCATGTTTCTCAATGTGTTCTTCATGCGGCACCCTCTGCTCATGGAACCATTCTGCTCTGTGTTGTCCACTCCAGGCTGCCCCTAGAATCCCGGAGGGTCAGAGCTAGGGAGCCTGGCAGGCGTCCTGGTGCCTCCTTCTCAATGTACACAGGTCATGGGGTGGGTTAGTGATGGGGTGAGACCCACACAGTCGGTCTCAGCACCAGCCCCCCCTTCACACCCAGGGTTCTGCCCCAAATGCCCAGAACTCTTGTGACCTTGAGAGTTCGCCTTGAGGCTGGTTGTACCATTAACTTGTTATGTGATCAAGGTATTTGTCAAACAATTACGGATGGTACTGAGGAGATCGTTTCTGTCCATAGTCAGGTGATAATCTGGCTATGGAGACAAAATCATTTTGCATAAAAAGTATTTGCATACAAATGTTTTGTAGTACATGATAGTCATATAAAGAATATCCTAGGGTGGTGAGTATTTCATTTAAAAATATTGCTGTATAGAAACACCCTTTCTTCACTGAACCACTTACCAAAATTGCTACCATGTTCCAGCCTTGCCTTTAGGAAGGGAGGACGTTCAGACCAGCCCGTTGTTCACGGTGGCTGCCAGCTCTTTGTGTAGGCGTTGGATGAGTGGCTGTTGGAGAGCTCAAGTCTCAGAAGGAGGCAGCCAGCATCTTTTTATGAAGTGTTCTCTGCATAAGCGAGGTCCAGTCCTAGGTGCCAGGAGACCTGGGCGAAGACCCCAGTCCGGGAGAGGGCGACTGGCGGTGGACTTCCTGGAGCAGAGGCCCAGCAATAGGGCCCAGCCAGAAAGGCTGCCCGTGGGCAGTGGCGTGTAGGGGCCAGTGGGAGGGCCTAGCCAGAAAGGCTGCCCATGGGTGGCGGTGTGTAGGGGCCCAGCTGGAAAGGGCCTGGCCAGAAAGGCTGCCCGTGGGCAATGGTGTGTAGGGGCCCAGCTGGAAAGGGCCTGGCCAGAAAGGCTGCCTGTGGGCTATGGCATGTAGGGGCCAGTGGGAGGACCCAGCCAGAAAAGCTGCCCACGGCCGGTGGTGTGGGAGCCGAGATGCCAGGTGGGGGGTGTGCCAGGAAGCTTCACATTTGTGAATGGCAGCGTTGACCCTTCTTCACTGTGGTTGTGAGTGGCAGGAGATACGCAGCAGCTACAGGGACCCGGCCCAGCTGCAGATTGGGTTTATTTCTATCTGCTTTTAATTCACCTGCCCCCAGAGTTCTAGGTAATGCCTTACCCAGAATTTGGGTTTTAACATCCATAGATTTCTAGTTTTTCTCCTTGCGGTAGTTTTAGAGGGAAAGTGATATTGGGAGCAGACATAGGAGGCAAAACCAGTGGATGGCCAAGGAGCCAGAGCTGTAGCCATGAATGCTTTCAGGGAAGGAAAAGAAAAGCAGTCAGGCCTCAGAGCCGTGGCTCTGTGTTGTTTGAGAAGGAAGCTGGAGAAGCTGCTGGAACAAAGAGTGAGGCCAGATGCACTTGGCTGAGGAGCCACTGTGCCTCCTGTACGTTCTGCCCGGAGACCAGCAGATTTCTGAGTCGCTGGGATGGTGGAAGGAGAGGTCCTGCAACTTTCCTGTAGGCGTTGGAGCCTCGGTAGACATTCACAGGGCAGCGTTTGCTGCTGTGGTCTAAGGCTTGTTTAGTGTATGTACATTCATACACATGTACGGATTGCTTACTGCCCTTATTTTATCAGATCTAAAGATATAAAGGCTCTCAGATCATGGTTCTACAATCTTTCTTCCCATAAGACTTTGAACTGCGAATTCTTGATTCTTCTTCTAAGAGAGTATACGTGAACCTCACCCAGAGGATGCAAGGGATGCTGTGTATTGATTTGCATTTGATGTTATTTCGTAACACAGATATTTAAGCAATGAAAAATGATTCCAGGCAACTCTAACTAGATTTTGATTTAGCTTCTATTGAAAGGTGCATTGATTTTGGTTCATCTTTTTTTTAGGTCTGATGCCTGGAGGGAGGGTCAAGCTGGTACATAGTGCTCTGATCCAGTTGGGTGACAGGTAAGATGTGAGGGAAAACACTTCACTATTTCACAAAGACCTAGAAGGAAAATAACACTGGGGAATTGCATATATGGTAAATGACGAGCTTTTGCGATGAAGACGTCCATTTTCTCACATTGTTTTTTTTACTGTTTTATTTGTCTATTATTTTTATTTTTCTATTTTTTTGAGATGGAGTTTCGCTCTTGTTGCCCTGGCTGGAGTGCAGTGGCGCAATCTCGGCTCACTGCAACCTCTGCCTCCCTGGTTCAAGCGATTCTCCTGCCTCAGCCTCCTGAGTAGGTGGGATTACAGGTGCCCACCACCATGCCTGGCTAATTTTTGTATTTTTAGTAGAGACGGGGTTTTATCATACTGATCAGGCTGGTCTCAAACTCCTGACCTCAGGTGATCAACACGCCTCGGCCTCCCAAAGTGCTGGGATTACAGGTGTGAGCCACCGCACCTGGCTTTGTTAGTCTATTATAATGAGTGAATGTAATAGATGCAGCTTCCAGGTGTAGAGCTAACATTTTGTCTTTAAGTAGAGGTGATTTTCTGTCTTTTAAATTGGTCCTATATAATTATTCTTCAGTTTTCATGCCACCCCAAACTTAAAAGTTTCAGGAACCGGAGACATTGATAAAAAGTGTTATTCAGGGATTTAGATTTCTGCTTTTACTCACGTAACTTAATATGACATAAAAATTCTTCACAAATGTATAAATATTGTTTGTGGTATTTATATGTTTTATGTTAATTTATTTCTTAAAGTATCTCTTCTTATCGTTTACTGCACTCGGGTTAACTATCAACATGTGAATTACCCTTGAAAAATTTTTGGGCCTGGTTCTTCCTAATCAGAAAACCTGTGGGTTGTGTTAATGAATTCATGCATGCTTGGAGACTTTAAATCAACTACAGTTGTAATTAGTAATTACAACTAATTATGAAAGAGAGTTATATTTTAAAAAGTCATTTACTGTATTGCAGAGCCAAACGTACATGGTTCCTGAGCGAGCCCCTGACCCCTGCAGCCTTTGCAGTTCCCCTGTTGAGTTTCTTTACGACTTTTTATCTCTGCTAGGGTCCTTACCGCTTTATACTGTGCATTGTATTTATCTTTAATTATCAGCTTCTCCTGTACTTAACTGCACACACACTCTTTGAAGGAAAGTGTGTAATGTGTCCGACGTTTGGGTTTTTTCATACCCAAAAACTCTTAGCAGTGTCTTCCTGAGATCCACGCATAATAAATGTTCCCTCAGACTCTGCTCAACCAACCATATTGAGCTTATTCTATGTGCCAGGCTTTGTAGCACTAGTGGGGAGCATCTTCCCTCAAAGTGCTCCGAGAAGGAGGCAGACGAGTGAACGTTATGTGATTGCAGCGGGGGCTCCCTGCTTTCCCAGGAAGAAGGCTCAGCAGGGGAGTTCAGAGTGAGGATACTTCTCAGGGAGTTCCTTGGGCTCACTGCCTGGGAAAGGGTGGCGAGGAGGCAGAATGGGGCTGAGAGGAGGAGCTGAGCTGTGAGGCAGGCCCCACAGCTGACTCCCCAGGACCCGGGAGTTCTGAGCTGGAACGGCCTCCCAGAATCATGTGGCTGGGATTTATACCCCATATCCCGTCAGTCACTGAGCGTGAGTGTGCCCGGGAGGTCATTGCCTGCGGGGAAGCAGGTCCCACGGCTCTGCCTGCACCACCCCTGCAGCTGGGCCCCGTCCACCAGGGTCATCGTGCAGAAGACAAGTGTGGTGTCAGGATGTGCACAGGGCTTGTGGGAGCTCAAAGGATGGAGGCAGCTTGGGGGATGGAGTGCAATGGGGACATCTTAAGGAGGCAAAGACTGAGCTGGGCCTTTGAGATGGAGTTAGATGGTCAGAGGGAGCAGCACCTGGGGGTGCCCAGAGGCACATTTGGAGCTGTCAGTGGGTCTGATGTTGAGGGAGACAGGTGAGGCAGGCCCTAAGGAGTCTGTCTTCTGTGCTAAAGGGTGTGGACGTTAGTGTAAAGGTGGCCACGAGCCATTGCAGGATGTTGAGCCGAGGAGTGGTGCATCTTGTCTGTGATGTAGATGGGTCAGTGTGGTAGCGGTGTAAGTTGGGAACAGAGGAAGGGAGGCTGGAGTCAGCGAGAGCCATTAGGTGGCTTCTGGAGTGACTGACGTGAACTACCAGGATCTGAACAGAGGCAGCATCACAGGTATAGAGGCTAAAGGGGTAGAACTTAAAAAACCCAGCAGCTCATCGATTATAGGAGCGGTGGGAGGGAAGAGCCTAGGTTGGCCTCTGGCTCCACCAGCATGTCTGGTTGGTGACTGGGCACCATTTGCTAGGTGAGAATAAGAGTGGGGAGGGATGGGAGCAGCCCAGTGTGGTCCAGTGAGGACAGGCTGAGCTTGTGGAGACCAGGGGCCTCCATAGCAGAAACCTCAGATGGAGGTAAGGATTTGAGAGTCATCAACTAAGAGGTGACATTTGCAGTCCTGAATGTGGACAGAAAGAGAACATTGGAAAGGAGGCTGATAGCACGGCCACATGCTGACTTTGATGATGTGGGTGTGGCAGATGGAGCAATTGTGGGCATCTCTCTGTTACAAATACATAGGCCATATAAAGGAAAAAATAAAACTAAGTATAGTTTTTAAAAGGAAAGGAAAATCTCTAAATGCCATAAACAGGAGAGAGCTTAAAGTTAGTGTCATAAGCTTTTGAGCTGCTGTGTGATTGCTTGGAGGCTGGATGTGAAGCCCAGGCTATCTCAGACCTTCTGAGCTGTCTCTGGGGCTTGAGCCCATGCAGAAACAGGTGATGCATTGGGTTTGCCTGAGGCAAGGAGGTAGAACTGAGACCCCTGCACAGGACTTTCAAACTCACTGCTCCTGCAGTGATAGGGAAATTCAGAAAGCCTCACCACAGCCAAGAGAAGACAGAGGAGCTTGGAAGAGCTTGAAGTCCTAAGCTGAGTGTATGTATGGCAACCTACAAGCTGAGATGTTAACATCACAGTTCTAGACCAGTGGCCTCAGTGGGTTCATAGTTAAAGTAGACACAAAACCTCCTGGTGGGTAAAGATAGTTTGCAAGTGGGGGCTCACAGGATTCTCATGAGAAGCAGTCTGCTGCAGATGAGTTCACAACTACAAGCATGAAGAAACAGTGTACCTTGGTGTAAAAAGTAAGAGTCACACACTTAAGAACTTGAGACAGTTGTACAATCTAAAAGACATGTCTAGAAATGAAACTGTTATCTCTGAAATTTACAACCAAGTGAATGGTTACATAGCCGATTAGATATAGCTGAAGAAAGAATTAGTGAACAGAAGGATAAATCTGAAAAAACTATCAAGAGTGTAGTAGCAGAAAAAAATGGAAACAAAGAGTGGCTAAACCAGAGGAATGTGACATGGCCTGTTATACATCGAATGATGTATTATAGTGCAAATCAGTGGTGATACCATCTTATTTTTAAAGTTTGAAAACAATCCATCTGTTCATCTTTGTTACTTTATTTTTTCAGTCTTTCCCATAAAGATAATGAATTTTGGGGGACTACACAAACACTGAATGTTAAATTTCTGCCTTCAGACCCTAATCACTTCATTGTTGGCACAGACATGGTGAGTAGTATTTTAAATTTAATACTATTACTCATTTTCCTTCTTTTCCTGAGTTACCTGATAAATATCTTGATTTAGGATTAACTTACTCTTTGCTTTTATAAAGTTCAGATTGTTTGAGAAACAGTTACTGCATCCAATCTCGTATCTAATGCACTTCTTAGTCACTCTTGGGCTTCTTTTTCACAGGGTCTCATAAGCCATGGCACAAGACAAGATTTGAGAGTGGCTCCCAAACTATTCAAACCTCAGCAACGTGGTATAAGGCCAGTAAAAGTTAATGTCATTGATTTTTCACCATTTGGAGAACCAATATTTTTGGTAAGAAAGTTTGTTTTTTAAAGCACCAATTCTTTTTTTCTTTTTTTGAGACAGGGTCTTGCTCTGTCATCTATGCTGGAGTGCGGTGGTGTGATCGTAGCTCACCGCAGCCTTGAACTCCTGGGCTCAAGTGACCCTCCCACCTCAGCCTCCAAGTAGCTGGGACCACAGGTGCACACCACTACACCTGGCTAATTAAAAAATACATGTTTTTTTGTAGAGACGAGGTCTCCCTGGGTTGCCTAGGCTTACCAATTATTTTTAATGATACTCTGCCTATTTGGGCAGCGTAACACTTGCAGTTGAGCCACTGGAAAATTTTAAAAGTTGATCATTTACTAGGCCACTAATTGATCATTTATGGGGTGTCAGTGGTTTAGAACTAGACCACTGATTGATCATTTATGGGGTGTCAGTGGTTTAGAAAGGAGAAACATGAAATTAATAACAAAGTTTAAACAAAACCTATGTAGAAATTAAACTCTCAAGTAATATTTGGTTCGATTACAAGTTAGTTAGAATTTAACAGAGAATATCAAATACCAAAACCTATGCTACAGCCAAAAGTGTGAAGAAATTCTTAGTGTGAGAATTTTTGCCTGTGTTCTTTTACTGTTTAACACAATAGGAATAAATTGTTCAGAGTCTTTACCCTGAAAGTCCAGGGATGGCCGTCGGGAGGGCAGCAATCCCCGCGCTGCACTCATATGCTGCAGGACATGTGTGTGTGGGTGTGAGCTGCTCACTCTCTTTCCTTCCAGGGCCTGGTGTCTGCCCAGCTCACCCTAGTCACAATTGTCCTGTAGACTCCAAGGTCAGTCTGTGGGTTGGTTGGGGTAAGATAGGACAGAAGGCAAAATATTAAACAACTTTATACATGATTAAATGTGATAGTTAAGAGTTATACAATAGTCAAGGCATTAAATTATAGCTCAGATATCTCCTTCTCTCACTAGTATTTACAAATTTCCCTGTACTTGAGATTGAGGGGAAAGATTGTTACTTATTCACACTATTCTTATAGTACTTAAAACATTATAAATTATGTTTATATGTCAGTCACATAAACTATAAGGTTGTTGAGGGTGGAGATGGTATTTCATGTATCTTTGTATTTCCAAAGACGCATTTAGCTGCTGAGTAACATCCCCCTGTGGCTGTTGAGAGCCTAGAATGTGGCCAGGCAAGGCTGGGATGTGTTGGAGGTGTGAAATACACATCAAATTTTGAAGAATTAGTGTCAATAAAAGAATGTAAAATGTCTCATTAGGCCAGGCATGGTGGCTCACGCCTGCAATCCCAGCACTTTGGGAGGCTGAGGCAGGCGGATCACCTGAGGTTGGGAGTTCGAGACCAGCCCGACCAACATGGAGAAGCCCCATCTCTACTAAAAACACAAAGTTATCTGGGCACGGTGGCTCACGCCTGTAATCCCAGCACTTTGGGCATCCCAGGCAGGTGGAACACCTGAGGTAGGGGTTCAAAACCATCCTGGCCAACATAGCAAAACCCCGTCTCTACTAAAAATACAAAATTAGCCCAGCATGGTGGCACATGCCTGTAATCCCAGCTACTCGGGAGGCTGAGGCAGAAGAATCACTTTAGCCCAGGAGGCGGAGGTTGTGGTGAGCCGAGCTAGTGCCATTGCACTCCAGCCTGGGCAACAAAAGCAAAACTCCATCTAAAAACAAAACAAAAAAGTCTCATTAACAATTTTGTTGTTGGCGACTTCCAGTGTAGAGCTCTTGAGCTTTTTATGACTTCTCTTCCCACAAAAAACTAAAACCAAATACATAGCACCAAGATCTTCACCAGTAAGAACTCAGAGCTCAAGTGTGAAGACAACACAGTTCCTAGGACCACAGAGAGTAGAAAAGCTCCAAGCAAATGGGAGGAGAACTCAGCTTCCATATCCACAATGTCCCTTCCCCCTTATTTGGCCTGGCACCAAGTGCATGGAAAATCTCCCCTTAACTCATGGTTTCTATCTGGAGAAAGTAAAAGTGAGGTGGACAACCAGTTTCTCTACTTTCTTGGGTGCCCTGTCCCTGCTTGGCCCATGGAGAGCATCTCGAGTGCCCGAAGGGAGAAATACCCCTGAGGCCACTCAGAAACAAAGCTGGGAGGCGGGACTACTGTCCCCAGCCCTGGAAACTCTGTACCTCAGCCAAAGGAGGCACTCAATCAGACTGGCCACTCACAATACCATGCTCCAGAAGGTTTGTTCCACAGGTCTTCTGAACACGAACCCTGACACTGTCAGGACAAACCATTTGAGGCTTCCCTCATTTGGGACAGGCCTCCCTCAATCACTAAATACAGCTAAGGTGAACCTCGTCTTAAGGTGACACCTATAGCTGAAAGGGAGGCAGCAACCTAGCAGTGAAGATTTGCTAAGTAAATATATTCAATAAAAACCAAAACAAGCTGGACAGAGAAAACTGGAATAAATAATCCTGCAGTGCAAAGACACAGACATACACCGACAAGAAACAGCAGTGAACAGGGAACTATGACTTCCCCAAAAGGACAAAGCAAAAATCCAGTGACTGACCTAATGAGGCAGTGATTTGTGAGCTCTCTAAGAATTCAGAAGAGCAATTTTAAGGAAACTCTGTGATCTCCAAGACAACACAGAAAAGCAAATCAGAAATTTATCAGAGAAATTTAACAAAGAGATTGAAATAATTTAAAAATCAAACAAATCTTGGAACTGAGAAACATATTTGCTGAACTGAAGAAATTCATTATAGGCTCTCAGCAGCAGAGTAGATTCAGTAGAGGAATGAATTGGTGAGCTCAAAACAGGCTATTTGAAAATACACAATCAAGGCTGGGTGCAGTGACCCATGCCTGTAATCCCAGCATTTGGGAGGCCAAGGAAGGAGGATCTCTTGAGCCAGCCTGAGCAACATAGGGAGACCCTATCTCTATAAGAAAATTTAAAAATTTGCCAAGAATGGTGGCATGTGGAGGCAAATGGAGGCTGAGGCAGTAGGATCACTTGAGCCTGGAAGGCCAAGGCTGCAGTGAGCCCTCATTGTGCCATTGCCCTCCAGCCTGGGTGACAGAGCGAATGCTGTTTCTAAAAGGAAAAAAGAAAGGAAATATACAGTCAGAGGAGAAAAAAAGAACAAAAAGGAATGAAGACTACCTACAAGACAGAGAAAATAACCACAAAAGACCAAATCTAAGAATTATTGGTATTTAATAGGGAGCTAACAAGGGTTAGAAAATGTATTCCAAGAAATGGTAGGGAGGTCGATATCTAGGTATAGGAAGGTCAGCGAACATCAAACAGATTCAAACCAAATAAGATTACCACAAGGTATTTAATAATCAAACAAAAGTCAAGGAGAAAGAGAAGATCCTAAAAGCAGTGAGAGATAAGAAGCAAATAACATATAAAGGAGTTCTGGTTCATCTGGCAACAGACATCTCGGTGGAAACCATACAGGCCAGGAGGGAGGAGAGTGACATTTTCAAAGTGGTAAATGAGAAACACTGCCATCCAAGAATACTGTACTCAGCAAAACTGTCATTCAAATATGAGAAGGGGTTAAAGTCTTTCCCAGATACACAAAAGCTGAGAGAATTCACCATCCTCAGACCCATCTTGCAAGAAATGCTAAAGGGAGGCTGGGCATGGTGGCTCATGCCTGTAATCACAGCACTTTGAAGGTCAAAGTGGGTGGATCACTTGAGGTCAGGAGTTCGAGATCAGCCTGGCCAACTTGATGAAATATGTCTCTATTAAAAATACAAAAATTAGCCAGATGTGATGGCAGGCTCCTGTAATCCCAGCTACTCAGGAAGCTAAGGCAAGAGAATTGTTTGAACGTGGGAGGCAGAGGTTGCAGTGAGCTGAGATTGTGCCACTGCACTCCAGGCTGGGCGATAAAGTAAAACTCCGTCTCAAAATAAAAAAAAAAAAAAAAAAAAAAAAAAAAAAAAAAAATGCTAAAGGGAGTTCTTCAATCTGAAAGAAAAAAAAAATACTAACATGCAATAAAACAAAAAACTTATCAAGGTATAAAACCCATTCATATAATTAAATACATGGACAAACCCAGAATACTATAATACTGTATTTGTACAATATGCTCATAATTCTAGTATGAAGCCCAAAAGACCTGTTAAAAACAATAATAGCTATAGCAACTTCTTAAGATATAAATAATTTAAAAATATATAAATCGAGACAACTGAAAGTCAAAATGTGAGAGGGTTAAAGTGTAGAATTTTTTGCATGGTGTTTCCTTTGTTTTTATTTCTTTATTTGTATTCTAAGATAAGTTGTTATCTCTTTAAAATAACTTGTTTTAGGGCTGGGTGCGCAGGCTTATGCCTATAATCCCAGCACTTTCGGAGACTGAGGTGGGAAGATTGCTTGGGTTTGGGAGTTCGAGACCAGCTTGGGCAACATAGTGAGACCTCATCTCTGCAAAAAACCCCAAACAAACAAACACACACAAAAAACAATCAACTGGGTGTAATGGTGCCTATGCCCACCTGTAGTCCCAGCTAGCTACTTGGGAGGCCGACGAGGGAAGGTTGATTGAGCCTGGGAGGTCAAAGCTGCAGTGAGCTGTGATCTTGCCACTGCACTTCAGTCTAGGTCACAGAATGAGATCCCATCTCAATAATTAAGTAAATAAGCACAATACAAAAACCTGTAATAGCTTCATTCAAAACAAAAAGCAACAAATTAGAACATACTAGAAGAAAGAAGGAAGACAGGCAGAAAGGAACAAAGGAAGAGAGGAGTCTTAAGCAGAAGTCAAGAAACAAAATGGCAGTAGAATGTTCTCACTTAGCCATGACATCACTGAATGTAAATGGTCTCAATTCTCCAATTAAAAGGCATAGAATGGCTGAATGGATAAAGAAACAAGACCCAACTATATGCTGCCTTCAAGAAACTCACTTCACCTATAAAGACACACTCATACTAAAAGTGAAAGGGTGGAAAAAGATATTCCATACAACTAGAAACCAAA